TATTTAAAGATAGTAGGCTTGCATTTTTCAGACTTTACCTGGTTTGGTATATTCTCAAGACATGTTTCTTCAACAAATGCAATTCCTGCAGTGGTCACAGTCAAGTGGCTACCAAAGTCAGTATCAGTGCAATAGCTGTTTATATCATGCGAATCTGCCCATTAGAGTTCTATATTTGGAAAGGGGACCCTAGGAAATAAAAAAGATGATAAACTACAGTTGTGTGTCCACAACTGCCTTATAAATGACTGACAGAGAAGCTGGCTACCAGATGATAAAGGGCAGCTATGTCCTGAACATGGTCCCAAGTGCCTGTGCCCACCCCACCCCCAGCTCTGAATTTCCTTCCGTTAGAACATAGGAATAGGTTCCAGTGTTAATGTGACTCAGTCTTCTGTGTGGTGGGAGGTGACTTAGGAGTTGTGCAAACGACTGATTCCTATTTCACGGATGAGTATGGTTGTTATAATGCTACAATTATGCTCTGTTGGTTCAATTAAGATAGCCTCTTCTTGTTGATTTTTGCTCTGCTTTTAGAGGTGCTAGGGATGGAACCCAGGGTCTCATACATGTTAGCTAAGTGAGCTACCACTGAGTTACAACCTGAACTTCTGATTTGCTTTTATAACTAGATTTTATTAATTGTGTAAGTTAATATTGTCTATGGTTTAAAGATATGGTTCAACAAAAATTGTTAAAAACAAAAGCAATTGTTGCATAAACAAAGCAACAGAAAATTGAAAAAAAAAAAAAGCCAGCCAACCAACCAAACCCTGAAGAGCAGTGACTTAGTTTTACCAAGCTTCTTTACAATAATCAAATTCTTGAATAATGATTTTGGAGAAGGATGAAGGATAATTAATTCCAAATGATTCTTTCTGCTGAAAGAGCAAGGCAGCTATGAGTTGATCACACACACACACACACACACACACACACACAATCAACTCTAAAAGCAAGAAGGTTAAATGTGGGCTGGACTGTAGCTCAGTTGGTAGAGTGCCTGTCTAGTATGCACAAAGGTTTGCATGGAACCCACATGGTGGAATGAGAGAACTATCTCCTGAAACCACCCTCTGACCTTCACACCTGTGCTGTAGCACTTGTCCTCCAACCCTTAATAAATAAATGTAGACAAACAAACATACTGGGTATGGTGGTGCACACCCATATTCCAAGCACTGGGATGGGGTTGAAGGCAGGAGAATCATAAGTTCAAGGTCATCCTTGGCTACGTAGTAAGGCCACTATGTTAGTAGTTTTCACTACTTAAGAACATGTCTCAAAAAAAAATAAAATGCTGACTGTTTTGAAGCCAGGGCCTTCTTGCAGCTCTCAAAGCATTCTGGGTGAGACCCACACCCTATGAAGGAACTTGTCCCTGCAGGGAAGATTCCCAAGTGACAGAACATTGGTTCTGCTGTGGCTACATGCACATTATTTGTACCTGCAGTTCTCCTCATCCTGATGCCCCCACAGAAATAACAAGCTTCCTGTCCTAGTTTGTTTCTTCATTGCTGTGACAAAATACTCTGATGAATACCAACTTGGGGAGGAAAGGGTTTATTTTATCATACATCTCCCAGGTTGCAGTTTATCAGGGAGTTCAAGGTAGGAACTCAGGGCAGGAACCTGGAGGCAAGAGCTGGAGGACAGGCCATGGAAGAACACTGCTTACTGGCTTGCTCCCCTGGCCCCTGCTTAGCCTGCTTTCTCATGCAACAGAGGCCCACCTGCCCATGGGTGGTACCACCCACAGTGGGCTGGGCCCTCCCACATCACTCATCAAGAAGATGCCCCTCAGACATGGCCACAGGCCAGTCCAATAGAGGAAATTCCTCAATTGAGGCTCCCTCAACCCAGGTGTGTCAAGTTGACACTAAAGCTATCCAGCACAGCTCCCATACCCATTCTCTCTGCTCAAAGTCAAGAACTGGTCCTAAGCAGTCAGCTTCCAGCTTCTTTCAGACCAAGGAAGAGAAGCAACTTCTATTTACAAGTGCAGTCTTCCAAACTGCTTCCCTCCTCCCTTCCTGCTCAATAATGTGTATCATGAGGGAGTGCAGAGTTCAAATCCTTAGGCCACTTCTCAGTATTTTGCCTTTGGACAGATTTGTCTGTTTTAATTTATAGACTAGGAAATAACAGCATAAATGTGGAAAAACAAAGAACAGCGAACAACAGTGCATGACCTGTTGCTGGTGACTCAAGAGGACTATAGTTCTAGCATCACATTGTGTCTGTTAGGAACTGCTTAGTGTCCTGCAATTTCCTAAGTGCCACTGTGTGTCAGGCCAGTGACAACTCTACCTGGAGTATGAAGTATACTTCATTTGTGTCCATATGGGGGTAGATGGCAACCAGGTAAATCACTACTAGGGTGTTAGAGCCTATCTTTCCTATTCAGGCCTGTTGACCAAAAGTCACACTTCCCAGTAAAAGGTGGGTGCATTCCTAAGGGGAGTGAGACAGAATGTCAAAGGGAAAGTGGGGAAAGGACAGGGGACAGGAAAAATCTCTGCTTCCCAGGGGCTCCTGTGATCCCCAGTCATGCCTTCCCCTCCACTCCAGATGTTCTGTTAAACAGCCCAATGACCTGCATGCAGACTCTGCGATGTCTCCTGAATGCCTGCCCCTTTCTCCACTCATGGCCTTCAAACACACATTAACATAAATACGAACTTTCTGATTAAATGGAAATTTAGTATGTCTCAAGTCTAGACACTGCCTCTCATGCAGTGGTGCAAATCACAAAGCAGCCATAAGAACAGAGAATATCATTTTCAGCCTCCTTACACATTGTAGCCCAGAAAATCTGAACTTATAACCTTTGCTGACTTACACATATGCCCCAAACTTTCCTGGTGTTAGAAATCGGGTCTCAGGAAAACAACCACAGAATCCAAAGTATTTCTTACAACGTCAGAAGTTTGACTTTTGCTGAAGGGTCAAGCAGGCAAGCATGAACAGCCACTGGGAGTACTGCTTTTTTTTAAAAAAAATTTTTTATATATATGAGTGTTTTGCCTGCACATATCTAAGTGCACCTGTGTTGTGCAGTGCCTGCAGAATCCAGAAGAGAGCATCAGATCCGCTGGAAGAAAAGTTAGGGGCCGTTGTTAGTTGCCATGTGGGTGCTGAGAACCCAGCCAGGGTCCCCTGGCAAGAGCAGTCAGTGCAGTGCTCTTGACCAGGGGCCATCGTTCTAGTCTCAACTAGGTAGGTTTTTATCCTTAATACGAAGGTGTCTTGTGCCTTACTGAGTGGACAGAGCTCAGCCTCACATTAAAATGGTACAGTAGATAAGTGAACTAAAACTTTTGAGAAAAGGATGCAACTTGAGCACATACTTTGATCTTAGAGAAATGCTGACAGCGGTAGGTTTCTGCAAGACAGCATATTGACAAATGTCTTTAAAAAAGACGAGCTTCCTTTGTCTCATTTACCTTCTGACAGCACATATGATTTACATTTTCCACGCTATTAAAGCACTGTTTTAATAAAGAAACATTATTTTTGCCTTGGTGATTTCTACCCACCTTGTCTGCGGCTGCAATTCTCCAGAACTTTAACATTTCCTCTGGCAACCCATCAACACCTCCACTCTGCTGCCATTTATCTTCCAAGGCTATCTTCCACTTGTCCCAACAAATGGCATTACTACAGCTCAGGACATGGAGCTTCCCTACCCCATACAGGGCAACACATGTATGAACATTCTTATGCGGTGGATAATATTTATAAAGACTTTGACTCAGTGTGTATAGACTGCTATGTTAAGCACCAATTCCCGCACTCCCCTTGCCTTTAGTAGCAGTAAGGAGACCGCGTGCATCCCTTCCTTTTACTCCTTACTTCCTTTTACTATTTGGGACTTCTGTCCCCGCCACCGCCCCATCTTTTGTGAGACATCTCACGTAGCTCAGGTTGGTCTTGGACTCCCAAAATGACCTGGAACTCCTGATCCTCCTGCCTCAACTTCCCCACTGGGATTACAGGCATGAGTCACCACACCTGATTTATGGGTTTTCCGGCATTTATCTTGGGTCACTGGTGCCCCAATCACAAAATCGAGGGCGTCTGAAACAAAGGTAAGCCCACAACTCAAAACATTGCAGTAATTCGTCATGACAGCAGCCCTGGTCCCCAGGCTCGCCCTCACGTCCTCCGCTGAGCTTGGCAGAACGACTCCCAAGTCAAATCGAACTTCTGCAAGTTATAGACAGAAGCCACCCAACTGCATCAGGCAGGAAGCCTCCTGAACTCCCAGCCCACAGGCCGCAGGTACTCTCCGCTGCTCTAGGAACCACTATCCATTTCCGGTTCCTGCGGTTCCGGGATGAAAGGAGGGGAGACCCGCAGGAGTCAGCTGGGGTTGACTTCCGGCATAGGGGTTCCCGCTTCCTACCCGCCCCCTTACCTTCCCGCACCCCTAAACTACTTCCAGAGCCCGGGTGGGGTGGTGTTGGGGGCGGGGCCGACCGAGGAGGGGCGAGGCCTAGTGGTGGGCGTGGCCGCACCAGGCGAGGCCAAAGTGGGCATCAGGTGGGGTTGGGAGGGGCGGGGCCGAAAGGTGGGCGGGGCCACACTAGGCGAAGCGGGCGTGGGGCGGGATCGACGTAGGAAAGGGACTGGGGCCGCAGGGGCGGGGCGGGGTCGACGCGGGCGTGGGGCGGAGCTGCGTGAGCATCTTCTTCCGCGCCGCGTGTGGCGGCGCCGGCCGGGACCGCGCCCACTCCTGCCGCCCACACAGCCGTTCCGCGCGCATCCGCGTGTCCCGGGCGTGAACCGGAACCTCTTGCAAAAGCCACCGCCGGGAGCCAGGCGCCGACCGGGAACGCCGGGTACGCGGCCTGCGCGGCGCCGCCCGCCATGGCCGCGGCGGGGTGAGCTCGGCGCGAGGCCGCAGTCGCGCGGACTCAATCGCTCCTGTGCTGCGGTCCGCCGGCCCAGGCCGCCTGCCCGTCGCCGCTGCCCGCTGGTCACCGCCCATGGCGAAGCCCCGCCGTCGCCGCCGCTACTGAGCCGGCGGCCGGCGCGGCTTTTCCCCTCCGCGGGGCGCGGGCCTCCTCTTCCGCCCGCGCCCGCGCCCCGGGGTCGTCTGAGGGGCGAGAGCCGCTACCGCGCGGCGGTCGAAGATGGGGAACACCACCTCGTGCTGCGTGTCGTCCAGCCCCAAGCTCCGGAGGAATGCGCACTCGCGGCTCGAGTCCTACCGGCCCGACACCGACCTGAGCCGCGAGGACACCGGCTGCAACCTGCAGCACATCAGCGACCGCGAGAACATCGACGGTGAGCGGCCCGGTCTTCCTGTCCTTTCCCCAGTGCGACAGGGACTTTGCGGGTCCGCGGCCCCAACCTGGGTCCCGCGAGAGCCGGGAAACTTTGCCAGCCACGGCCGGGCATGTGGCGTGCGTGTGCGTGATTGTGTGTCCGTCTTCATGTGCGTGCATGTGCGTCTGTAACCGGGAGGTGACAGCAGCCGGCCCCAGGCAGGGCCCTGTTGGGATGTAGTCAGAAGTCAAGTTCTATTCGAGGAGGGGGCACGTCTTTGTCCTTTTCCGAAAGGAAGGGAATTATCATTTTGGAGTCGTGGTCTCTACTGGAGTTGGAGAACAGCCCTCCTCTGTTACCCAGACAGAGCTCTACTCCACCCCCTATTCCCATTAGAGTTCCAGACCAGCTGGGGCTACACGGAGACCCTGTCCCAACCAACCAACAACCAACTAAACGGGGCCCAAGGAAGTATGTTTATGACTGTATACACACATACATACATGTGTGATGTATGTACACACATGTTGGGATGGTTTCAAGGATTAAGGTCAAAGCTTCACCTCAAATTGTTCTTAAAATATTACCAAGTGGTTGTGGTTAAGGAATCTAGTTTTTGCATGAGCTTGAATTCTATGAGTTTCAAATTTATCTGGGTGACTTGGTTTGTGTATTTTTTAAAATTTATTATTTTTACTTTATGTGTATGAGTGTATTGCCTGCATGTATGTGAGTGCACCCGTGTCATGCAATGCAGTGGAGGTCAGAAGAGGGCTTTGGATTACCCTGGAACTGGAGTTAAGGAGGGTTTGTAGCCGCCATGTGGGCACTGGGAATCGAACCCTGGTCCTCTGCAATAGCAGTCAGTGCTCTTAACCACAGAGCCATCTCTCCAGCTCCTGGTTTGTGTATTTTAAAAAAAGTTAAAGGAGTCATTACTGCACCTAGTTATGCTATTTATCTTACTGATCTTTCTCAGTACTGCTTTATCTGCAAACATTGTTGCTGAGTATCAACAAGTAGTTATGCATCAGACATAAACTACAGAGACTAATACACATCTGGTTTATAGTAAATTGTGGTACTACATGAGTTCTGGTGTCATTTTAATGTTTATTATTTTTATTTATGTATATGTGTGTGTTCATGTGAGTGTATACCACATATGTGCAGGTGCCCACGGAAGCCAGAGGAGGTGCCGCTCCAGTCCTCTGGAAGAGCAAGAAGCACTCTTAACCACTGAAACAAGTCTCCAGCCCCCCTAGTGTTGTTTCAGATGTCCGTGATCTTGGTCTCCTCTTCCTGTCTTTGAACTACAGCCATGCTTTATTTTGTACTTACACATTTTAAAACACCTAGAAGGATATTAAGGCCCAATCTACTCAGCCCTAAGCACCTTAGTATTGTATTTTAAAGGAAAGAAGGAATAAGCTCATTGTAGAAGGCTGTTACTGAGTCCTGTGCAATGTTGATGGGCAAACCCACATAGAATATTTTGATAATTTTATTGTACAGGTTTGAAGAAGGCCATTTTCATGCAAGTATATAGTATACGTTTGAGCTCCCCCCATACCTCACAACCCCGCTTTTGTTTACTCCTCCCCATTTCCATTAGCCCTGTTGTCTCCACACAGGTTTGCGCCTACTTTCATGCCATTTTACGTCCATGATTTTATTATGTATTCAGTCGAGGACCCATAGTTGAGAGAAAACCTGCCATATTTGCCTTTCTGAGACTGAATTTGCTTAATATGATTATCTCCAGGTGCATCTATATTTACTGCAGTAGATATAACTTCTTTATGGCTGAAATTAATTCTATTATATATAAGCCACATTTTCTTTCTCTGTCACTCTGTTAGTGGGCAGTGGTGCAGTAAACATTGACGTGCAGGGACCTCTGATGTGTTTGCTTGGAGTGTTTTGGGTAAATACCCAGGAGTAGCATAGCTGCTCATAGAGTAGATCTATGCTTAGCTTTTCCAAGACTCCAGACTGACTTCCATAGCATAGCGCCTGGCCTGCTTTACGTTCCCTTTTGTCTGCATCCCCAGAGCATTTGTTACTTGTTTTCTTAGTGCAATTGGAGTGATATGCAATCTCATTGTATTTTTATTTGCATTTCTCTGATGGCTAGTGATGTTAATTTTTTTTCGGATATTTATTGGTACTTTGTATTTCGAGAACTGTCTTCTAGTTCATTGGACCATTTGTTGAATGGGTTCTTTAGTTTTGGGGGGTTACGTTTTTTTTTAGTTCTTTGTGTATTCTAGAAATAAATCTGTCAGGTGTAGTTAGCAAAGAAATTCTCCCATTCTGTAAGCTGCTCTTCACTCAGTTGTTTCCTTTACTGTGCAGAGGTTTTTTTTACAGTCATGAAATACATTTGTCAATTGCTGGCACAGGTTCCTGAGTGACAGGAGTCCTGTTGCGGAAGTGCGTCCTTCCCTGGGCTGGTATCTTGAAGTGCTTTCTCTATTTTTTCCTTGATCAGTTTTAGGGTTTCAGGTCTTACCTTAAATAAAGTCTTTGTTCTACTTGGAATTGATTAGGGTGAGAGATAGGCATCTAGTTTCATTCTGCTAAGAGCAGATAGATAGCCAGTTTGCCAACAGTATTTGTTGAAGAGGTTTTCTTTTTTCCAATGTGTAGTTTTGGTATCTTGGTCAAAAATCATGCAGCTATTGCTGTCTGGTTTTATATCTGGGTCATCTGTTCTGTTCTATTGATCTATGTGTCTGTTTTGTGCCAGTGCCATGCTGGTACTGTAAAACACAAACTTGAAATCAGATATGGTGATACCTCCAGCATTTCTCTTTTTGCTCAAGATTGCTTTGGCTAACAAGTCTTTTATGCTTCTTAGGAATACATTTTTTTTTTCTATTTTTGTGAAAAATGGTGTTGGAATTCTGAAGGTGACTGCATTGAATCTGCAGGTTGCTTTTGATAGGTTAGCCATTTTCATAATATTCTTCTAATTCATGAACATTGGGTGTCTTTCCATCTTCTAATATCATCTTAGATTGATTTCTTTAGTAATATTTACATTGTAGAGGCTTTAAACTTCCTTGACTACGTTTATTCCAAAGTTGTGTTTTGTTTTTTGTTTTTGTTTTTTGATACAGTTGTGAATGGTATTATTTTTCTGATTTGTCAGCATGCTTGTTGTTGGTATTTACGGAGGTTACTGATCTTTATTCTTGCTGTTTTGTTTTTTGAGATAAGGTCTCACCTTGCAAATCTTGCTGGCCTGAAACTCTGTAGGCCTAGCTGGTCTAGAATGCAGAGAGATCCATTAGCCTCTGCCTGGGAAGTACTGGAATTGTAGGCATGTGCCACCACTCCTGGTGACAGGCTACTGAGTTTCGTATGCTGCCACTTTGCTGAAAGTGTTTTTTATTAGCTCAAATAGTTTCCTTTTGGTCTCTCGAGTGTCATGTATAGAATCATATCTGCAAAGAAGAATGCTCTGATTTCTTTCTTTCTTATTTGTATCCCTTTCATTTCCCCTGTGATTCAGACCCTGGAGAAACTAGGAATAGAAGGAACGTATCTCAACATGGCCAAGTGTATCTGTGACAGACCTGTACCTAACGTTTCCAATAAAATCAGGAACATAACAACGGTGTCCTTTTTTCCCATGCTTATTCAATATTATGCCTGAAGTCTTAGCTAGAGCAAGTTTCATTAGCCTTCCTGCCTGCAGACTCAGTGAAGACGCTGGGACCCAGCATGCATTGACTGTGTATCAGCAGCATAGGCAGCTGCCCAGAGAGCCATCCTTCACAGTGCAGGTGTGGCCATGGCTGCTTGGCTCCACTTACCTAACTCAGCTCTTCATTTTAGAATCAATGAGTCTTTTTGCTTCGTCACTCTTACTTGACAGATAAGAAAACAGTGGTAGAGGGGCTGGCTTTGGACCTGAGTTCTGTTCCAGCACCCATGTCAGGCAGTTCACAACCACCTGTAACTTAAGTTCCAAGAGACCTGATGCCCTCTGACTCCTGAGGTAGTTGCACACACATGGTGCACATAAACTCTTGAAGGCACACAATAAATAAATGAATGAATAAATACAGTGTTAGAAATGTATACTCACCTGGTTCCAGAGATTGTAGATGTAGTAATAGAGTTTACTGCTAATTCTGGGCTAAGAACTGTGCTAATTCCCTAGCCCATATTACCTTTTTTAATCTTAGCATCATTTTTGTGATTCTGCAGACAAAGAAATTGAGCCTTTAAGGTTCTGTAACTTGTAGAAGTTGGAATTCAGTCTGCCATCACCTGCAAGAGCTGTGTCCCTTAACTGCCTTGTGACAGCTAATTAGGAAGTGTTCCTGTCTGGAATCTGACCATCCTGGTGCTTGGCCCATGCTCACTCTTATTTTAAAAGATTCAGGGGGCTGGAGAGATGGCTCAGTGGTTAAGAGCACTGGTTGCTCTTGCAGAAGACCAGGTTCAATTCCCAGCACCACGTGGCAGCTAACAACAGTTTGTAATTCCAGTTTCAGGGGAATCCAGCACCCTCTTCTGACTTCTGTGGGCGTTGCACGACATGGGTACACTTACATGTGAACAGTGCACTCATACACATACAGTAAAAAAATAATAAAACAAAATACTTTTTTTTAAAGATTCAGTCAAGGCCTGTGTCCTTTCAGCTACCAGTACCACATGATTAGGATTTTTACGTTTCTGCTTGATTTTTGAAAGGAATGAAGATGAGGCGCTTTGTGGGATGGCAGCTTCCCTCGCCCTCTTCTGTGCTGCTGATCGTCTCCACCATCTTCAGGAGATAATGCTTCTACATTTCTGACTAGATGAAATTAACACAAAGATTGAATTCATTTCTGTCCAGGAAAGAAATGAGCAAAACCAAAAGGGCAAAATAACTGGAAGCAGGTCACAAGAGTAGCTTTGAACTTGTGCACTGATCACTCACCAGAGATTTCCTCCCAGTATGCCATGTGGACGTTCTGTTAGGCAGCAGTGTTTGGGGCCTGTCAGAAGAGGGCTGC